CCAAGACGGATGAAACGCTTCCAGCTGAACGCCGCGATTTGCTTGTCTGGGAGACAGGACCCGAGCTTCCCCCGGTGCACTCTGCTCCTTCCCGAGCTCCCTCCCGCCCCGGAGCATCCCGAGCTCGCTCCCGCCCCGGCTGTGCTGTCCAGGGTAACTGCAGCATCCCCACTGCGCGTCTCGCATCCAGTGCTTGGGCAACGGAGGGGGGAGGAAGCAACGCGGCTGGAATGCGGCTGCTGCCGCCTCCCTGCTGCGGGTCCCAGCTCCTGCTCCTGCTCCGGGGCCACATCCCAGCGGGATTCCCCATCCCCTGCCTGCGGCGCTGCACTCACAGCGCACCCGGCTACGGGACGCTGCGGAGCTCGCCCCGCCTGCAGCACCCTGAGCCCCAGAGCCCCGAACCTGACCTCGGAGGGAGCCGGAAGGAAAAGCCCGCAGCAGCGAGGCCCCGCTGGGGCCCCGCAGTGCAGGAGCGAGGCCCGTGATTGCCTCTACCAAGGGGGAGCTTCCCTCTAATGGGCGGGATCCGGTTGTGCGGCTCTGCCCCAGCAAGTGGCACTTGGTCACCCTGAGGGCAGCCGGGCTTCAGCACGGGGCAGCCGGGCTCTGCCCCAGCCTGCCCAGGGCCAGGGATCGAGTACCTGAGCCCCGGCTGCTGCAGGGAAGGGGATGGATCCAGGCACCATCCCCAGCATCTCACAGAACCCCAGCCTGGTTTGTGTTGGAAGGGACCTTAAAGCTCCTCCAGCTCCAACCCCTGCCACGGGCAGGGACCCCTTCCACTGGAGCAGCTTGCTCCAAGCCCCTGTGTCCAACCTGGCCTTGAGCACTGCCAGGGATGGGGCAGCCACAGCTTCTCTGGGCACCCTGTGCCAGCGCCTCAGCACCCTCCCAGGGAAGAGCTTCTGCCTAAGAGCTCAGCTCAGTCTCCCCTCGGGCAGGTTCAAGCCATTCCCCTTGGCCTGTCCCTCCATCCCTTGTCCCAAGCCCCTCTCCAGGTTTCCTGCAGCCCCTTTAGGCACTGAAGCTGCTCTCAGGTCTCCCCTTTCCATCTTTCATACACACTCAGTCAACCATCCTGCACTTAGACTGAATTTACCACTCAGTCTGCTGTGATTAGAAACGTTACGGGTGCTGTTTGATCTTAGATGAAAGGCAGCTCCTTATTCATTACCTGCATCTGGGAGTTGAGGTCTAAAGCACCTAGTGGTGCTTCAGTGTAGCACGGAGGATGCTCCTGCCCATCAATCCCACCCCGTGCACACTCATCCTGTCTCCGGTTCTGGCACATCTGGAGGGCAGGGGGGCAACATGCTCAAGGATGGATGGACTTGAACATCTTGGAGGTCGTTCCCAACCCGGTTGATGCTATGATTCCAGGGATGTGCAGGGGCTGAGTCCTCTCCAAGCTGGGGTGACTCCTCCCTTCCCTGCTGGCATTCAGCTGGGGTGAAGGGCTCTGCAGATGTTCCCAGCTGCTCCATCCCCAGCCACATGGAGACGGCAGCACGCACGATGCTCACCACGTGCAGTCCTTGTGTCCCTCATTGCAGAGCTGTGCTTAAAGCCCTGAGCAGCTCTGCTTCCTTCTGCTTTTAGCTCAGTCACCCCCTTCTGTAGCTCCCACAGGTACCAAACAACCCGGCCCCGTGCCTGCCTCTGCATAATGGGGATCATATTTACCACGTGAATCCGAAGGGTATGTGGCAAGGCTGCTGGAGAAAGCACTGACTTCAAAGGCACTTGTAATAATACCCATTATCTCTTCACCACATCTGTAATTACAGCAAAGTACAGTCTGTCCCGAGAGGCTAAAAAAGAAACCTCTCACATCTTGGTGCTATTTCATGCTTTAAAAGGACTCGGCACCGTCCTTAATGTTTTTTAATCCCAGCAGCAGCCACTTTGGGAATGCTTTTGGGTCTTTTTGTGTTGTTATTGGTATGAAAATTGGTGGAGGGCTTTAAGGTGCCCAAACAAGCTCTCCAATGCTGCTGCAGCCCATCATTATCAGCTTATCTGGCACAGTGAGTCAGGGAAGAGCTACATTATCCTGAACCTTACCCCATCTGCTCGAATCCCGCACCCAGCCATGGTTGGAGGAGCAGGAAGGCTGCCGGCTCCAGCCCTGAAGGTCACACTGGCTGCTTCGGCTCTGCCGCTTCTTCCCCACCGCAGCCTGGTTTGTGCCCATGCTCTGCTCTCCTGCAGTCCCACTTGCTGGATGGTGCAGCCCCAGTGCCCTCAAACCTGTGGAGCAGCGGCCTCGGGAGCAGGCAGAGGGGAAGGCAGCTCCTGCTCCAAACACCTGGAGCCAGCACAACCCCAGAGAAGCAAAACCTGGACAAGGATCCTGAGCGCTGCTTCCTCCTTGCTCCGAACTGCAGGGGCTGAGCAGCTCCAGCTCCTCCTATCTGGCAGCTCAGCGGAGGGCTGAGGATTCCTGCTTTTCAAAGGCCTGGCTGAAGGCAGCACTCCTCCCCAGTCATAGAATAGTCAGGGTTGGAAAGGACCTTAAGATCATCCAGTTCCAACCCCCCTGCCATGGGCAGGGACACCTCACACTAAACCATGGCACCCAAGGCCTCATCCAACCTGGCCTTGAACACTGCCAGGGATGGAGCATTCACAACCTCCCTGGGCAACCCATTCCAGTGCCTCAGCACCCTCACAGGAAAGAATTTCCTCCTTAGATCCAATCTAAACTTCCCCTGTTTCAGTTTGAACCCGTTACCCCTTGTCCTGTCACTGCAGTCCCTAATGAAGAGTCCCTCCCCAGCATCCCTATAGGCCCCCTTCAGACACTGGAAGCTGCTCTGAGGTCTCCCCGCAGCCTTCTCTTCTCCAGGCTGAACAGCCCCAACTTTCTCAGCCTGTCTTCATACAGGAGGTGCTCCAGCCCCTGAGCATCCTCGTGGCCTCCTCTGGACTTGTTCCAACAGTTCCATGTCCTTTTTATGTTGAGGACCCCAGAACTGCATACAATGCTCCAGGTGAGGTCTCAGGAGAGCAGAGCAGAGGGGCAGGATCACCTCCTTGGACCTGCTGGTCACGCTGCTTTGGATGCAGCCCAGGACACGGTTGGTTTCTGGGCTGTGAGCGCACACTGAAGCCGGCTCATGTTCATTTTCTCATCAACCAACACCCCCAAGTCCTTCTCCTTGGGCTGCTCTGAATCTCTTCTCTGCCCAACCTGTAGCTGGGCCTGGGATTGCTCCGACCCAGTCCTCAAATTTCAGGCACAGGCTCTCAAAACCACCCAAGTCGCAGGCAGAACACTGGGGTTTCTTTCCCACTTTGCCAAGTTTATCCTCTTTTTCCATGAATTCCTCGCTGTGAACACTCGTGAACCCTCTCTGGTGCACTTCCAGCCCACTTAACGGAGCAGTGCAAGGCTTTGGTCTCCAAAATACATCTCAGTTTAACGTCACCCTTCCACCTCGGACACGCTTTCCCCTTGGGTGGCAGCCTCAGGGGGCTGACCTTCCCCATCGGGTTAACCCCAACACTGCATCGTGCAGATGATGGGCAGCTCAGTCCTACAGCTGGCCGTGGGTTTGGCAGTCCCTGCCACAAGGGAAGCCTCCCCTGATGTGGTTTCTCCCCCTCCCCTGCTGCAGCTGGGAGTACTACGTGAACGATGCACCGCGCGTCGTCCTCAACAAGCTGGAGAGCCGCGGCTACCGCGTGGTGAGCATGACCGGCGTGGGGCAGACCCTGGTCTGGTGCCTCCACAAGGACTAGCGGGGAAGACTCCGGCGCTGCTCCTGGGGCACAGCCTGCTGGGGCTCATCTCGCCCAGGACTGACGGCAAACATTCCCCTTCATTCCCTTCTGTCCCAGACTCCAGGCACTCGGGCGCAGGGGAGGAGCAGTGAGAGGCAAAACGAGACCCAAGGGGACCTTGCCACCCCTGCCATTAGGCAAGGCGAGGGGCAGGTGAGCCCAGCCCAGTGCAATCAGCCCACAGAGCTGGCTCCATCTCTGCATTGAGCTCAATGGCAGCCTGGCTAACACCATCATCTTTTCACATTTTAATCATGCCCTCTTTAGCATGCACTGGAGGGAGCTTAATACAGACCTGTCTGCTCCTCAGGGCTGAGCTGAGGTCAGGGCATGTCTTCTCCCAGGCCATAGATGCAGCCAAACCTGGGTAGCAAACCAGCTCATCCCCAAAACATGAGCAGGAACAGCAGAACCTACACAGTGCTCCCTGAGCATCCCTTCTTGGGGAGCAGGGCGGTTTCCGTCCCACGTGGGGTTGTGGTCAGGAGCACCATCAAGTGCATCGATGGCCATCTGAGTGTTACACATCATTCCTGAAATAGCCTTAGAGCAGCACAGAAAGGTCTCATGAACACTTCAGGTACAGGTCTGTCTCCCTAGCAGCAGTGCTGGATGGTTTGGGACTGTATCAATCCTGCCGAAGGGGTACCACCAATAAACCATTTCTCTGAAGAGGCCAATGTCTTCCTGTGGGTTGTTTCAAACAGTTGTTGCCAAAGGCTCCTGCAGGAGAGCTCCACTTACACACAGCCATCTCCATCCCACCTCTGGCTCGGCTGCAGTGACTGAGTTTCTGTCCATAGAATCCCAGCCTGGTTTGGGTTGGAAGGGTCCCTAAAGCTCCTCCAGCTCCAACCCCAACCCCTTCCACTGGAGCAGCTTGCTCCAAGCCCCTGTGTCCAACCTGGCCTTGAGCACTGCCAGGGATGGGGCAGCCACAGCTTCTCTGGGCACCCTGTGCCAGCGCCTCAGCACCCTCCCAGGGAAGAGCTTCTGCCTAAGAGCTCATCTCAGTCTCCCCTCGGGCAGGTTAAAGCCATTCCCCTTGGCCTGTCCCTACAGGCCCTTGTCCCAAGCCCCTCTCCAGGTTCCCTGCAGCCCCTTTAGGCACTGGAGCTGCTCTCAGGTCTCCCCTTCAGGAGCCTTCTCTTCTCCAGGCTGCCCCAGCCCAGCTCTCTCAGCCTGTCACCAAGCCCTATTTCTACAACAGCTTTAAAAAAAGGAGGTTTATTGACTTTAAATTAAGCAGCAGCTTTGGAAATGCAGAATGATGGGGTGGGAGAACCCATCCTCTCTCACGTTAGGTGTGAGACTCCTCCTCCTCTTCCCGCTTGAGCCGCTCAATAATCTGCTGCCTCTCTGCTGCTTGGCGCATCCTCATCATCACCAGGCTCTCGTAGTCCCGCTCGGACACCACTGATTCCTGGGGGCAGAAACCAAACACAGACTGTTGAGAACAGCTCCCACGCAGCCCCCCTCCATGAACCACACTCACACCATGAACGTTCGGGGCAGGGGGTCACACTCCTATGAACCACCCCAGAGAAATGGGGCAAGGTGTGAAAGCCACCTGGTCTATAGGAAACAGCCCGAGTCTTAACAGTGCTGCACTGAGGCAGGGAGTGGGACAGATTGAGAGCCCCAGTTACCTGCTTGCAACTGGAGGTACTCCCTGCTCACAACAGGCTTAGAATCATTGAATCCCAGCCTGGTTTGGGTTGAAGGGACCTTAAAGCTCCTCCAGCTCCAACCCCTGCCACGGGCAGGGACCCCTTCCACTGGAGCAGCTTGCTCCAAGCCCCTGTGTCCAACCTGGCCTTGAACACTGCCAGGGATGGGGCAGCCACAGCTTCCCTGGGCACCCTGTGCCAGCGCCTCAGCACCCTCCCAGGGAAGAGCTTCTGCCTTATCTCCAACCTGAACTGCCCATTTCAGTTTAAACCCATCACCCCTTGTCCTGTCACTCCAGTCTGTGATGAAGAGTCCCTCTCCAGCATCCTTGCAGGCCTCTTTAGGCACTGGAAGCTGCTCTGAGGTCTGGAAAGCTGCTCTGAGGCTGGATGGGAAGCATGGCTTTCCCTCACTGGGGCTGGTTATTTTGGATGACGAGCTTGCTCTGCAGGCCCAACACCCGGGCACAAAGTCCAGTGTACACTTCACCCGTTACAAAGGCTAATGCCATAAAAACATCATCATCAAAGCCTTCTGTGGTTTCAGTCATTGCAGTGGCTGCAGCAGGAAAACCAGCAGGGATGCTCCCAAACCTGACCCAAGTGTGGCCGAGTTCTCAAAAGCTCTTGGAGCCTTTTCTTCTGTGTGTGGTGGCAACTGTCATATCAAGCAAGCTGATTGCAGACTCTACCTAATCAATGTAGGCAGCAGATGACAGCAGCTCCTGCAGAGCAAAGCGGTGGGTTTGGCTCTCTGCTTTCAGAAGCCGCTGAACATCAGTAGGTGGCCTGACTACTCTGGATGTATTCAAAGCTCTGCAATGCTTGGAAACATGCAGCTCATTTGCTTGACAGCTCAGGTAGAAATGAAAGCATCTTCAGAGAAGGTGAATGAAAAGAAGTAAATCTCATGTTCATTTTACTACATCTACTGGTGTCTTAGGGACATTTAAACAGCACAGAGAAGGAATGAAAAGGCAATAGAACAGCTCAGTAAGATTCTGCATGAAAATGGGGCAAGTGCAAATTTGCTGTCATGTGCCAGCAAAGCGGCTCCTCCAGCTGCAGTGTCTGGCTGGGAGGAGAAAACAGAAGCCCACAACAGATGAGAAGCTCAGACTGGGAAATGAAGAGACTAGTATGCTGTAATTGGTATCTTAGGAGCTGCATGAATGAAATAACCCCTCAGGACTGCTCAGCACAGGTCTTCAGAGTGTCTGAGCAAGCAGCAGACTCTATCAGCCCTCAGTGGCAGGACTGGGCTGCTTCAAAGTTCCTGGCCACTAACCACAAACACTGTCGCTTGCTGGGCTCAGTGAAGTAACCCGCATGAGGCTCCTGCAGATGAATCACCATCCAAACCTGAACCACCACCTCACACTCTGGATTTACATTTAAAACAGACAAGAGATGATTTCCAGGCTCCTTTGGGAGCTCTGCTCAGACAAGAAGCCAGCAGAAGCGGCAGGAGGGACAGCACCAAGAGAAGGAAGAGTCTGATGCAAGATGGGCTCCGAGTCCATGGTGCCAGCTCTCCAGCAGCCTGGGTGCCGCGGAGGGAGCTCGTGTTCTCCTCGGGAGCGCGTGGGCTGATGCTTTGCCACTCCACACACCTACTTCCTGCAATCCTGGCAATTACCAATAGTGTAAAACCCAGCTTCTGACGTGGCTGACTCAGCAAGGGCTTGGCTCAAAACAAATCCATACGCACAAGGAACTGCAGCCTGGAAGCAGTGACAGGAGGCACATGAAGAGAAAGAGGCGCTGGGGATTTTCGGCGTTCCGGGTCCAATCTGGCTGAACTGTTCCTGGACTTGCTTCTTCCAGCGTCCCGGTGCTGGTGAACGTGGCAGCCTCAGCTCTCCGAGGGCTTCAGCAGTCTCTCCTCTCCGCCTGTTGGACTGAGGTGCTGCTCCACCACAGCGTAAGTCTGGTTTACATTCCATTTTCCTGATGTTTCCCTTTTACACCTGGGTTTTGTCGTGGTTCAGATTCCTCCTGGACTGTTGCTTTGGTTTCCTTCAGCAGGACTGAGTCACCGTCTCCCTTCCCAACCACCCACTGAGATTCTTATACTGTGCCCTGCATGGAGAAGGTGCCTGGTTACCATGGTACCCCAGTGCCCTTCTGTTCTAGATGCTAGATTAAATCTGTTCTCATGGTGACTGTGTGCCTTTGCTATTCTTCACCACTTGTTCCTGCAGCTCAGATTTAGTAAGCTCAGACATCACCATTCCTTCTCCACTGAAGAAGGAGACTCCACTGAAGGAGACTCCTCCATAGCCAAGGCAGGCCAACTGCTCCTTAGCACAGGGAGATAGTGGGAAGTTTGCATTTCCTGCAATACCAGCCTCTCTGTTTTCCTTCCAGCTACAGGAACAGGGACGGAAGAGGTTGTTCCTGTCGTGCCGCCTGCTGCTGATCCTGCGACACAAGTCCAGCACCTGCCTGTGAAGAGTCATCAGTTTCCTCCTGCTCCTCTCATCAGCATGGATACTTGGCGGAGAGGGTCCATTAAATCCACAACGTTCTTCAGACGGTTCTCACTCAGGAGACACAAAAAGCTGGGCAACCAAGTCATCCTCCTTAACCAGAACAGCCACACGCTGGACAGTGATGGACAGTGCCAGAAGAGGGAATGCTTGAGGGATCTGAAGGACAAGTCTGACTACCTGTCATGTCAGAGTGAGCAAAACCTAGCCAAGGCACAAGCTCCCCCCAAGCCTCCCCGGCTGTACCTGGACAGTTCTAGCTGCCCCAACATCATCGACCACACAGATTCTCACTCCAACATCTCCTTTTCTGATGCTACTCAATACCATAAAGCCACTCAAACTCAATTCCACAAGGACCAGGCTACAGACTATGGGACCTCAGAGTCAGGTTCCCAGAACGGCACCACTCTTTCTGACCTGTCTGACCCCTTCCTGTCCTTCAAAGTGGATTTGGGGCTATCGCTTCTCGAGGATGTTCTGCAGACCCTCAGGAAACAGAACCCAAGAGATTATGCCATTTGAAGGTATTTATCATTTAACATATCCCATTTCTTTACTGCTGCTGCCAGTTTCTCCAGTCCTAGCAGGAGGACGCATGCAGCATTCCTGTTGTGTGGCCTGTTTTGTTGTTCTCACCTTACCCATCATAGACTGTCCCTGTTCCTGTCCTTGCCACAGAGTTCTTCGGAGCAGAGCTTGCAGGCTCCTTGCTCAGATGACAGCACTGTCTGCTGGAACCTTGTGGGCAAGGTCCCGTTCTCCACACTGGGAATTCCCTGTTCCTGACTGTGCACCTCCTCCTTGTGGAAGAATGGCATCGTTTGGCAAATGACTCGTTTTGGGGATACGGCTGTGACACTGCAGAGCACGGACAGAAAGGGATATGGCACCATCATCATCTCTGGATAAGCAGGCGGCTTGCAAGGAGACAGTAGCATTGCGTCTCAAAGCCATAGTTACGGCAAGGGTCAGAGACACAAACTGGTCTTTCTTCTCCCACCGCGTTTGGATGTGAATGAAATCAAAGCTGTTCTTCCTTTTTTTCTTCCTTGTGGGTTTCTTTCCCCCTAACTCAAGTGCAGTCGGCCCTCCCAGCCTGGAAACAGGTAAGCATCCACACAGGCTCGTAATACAGCAACAGCAGTTTATTTATCCTACTAGCAGGAGAAGAACTTTCTCTAGCTACTGCTGCTTGAAGCATGCACTGATCTATCAGCTGTACAGATATGGAAGAATAAATGTATCTGTGACTGGAAGCGTCCTGTTGCCTCATTTCATTGGTAGCAAGCCACAAAGAGCTCAGGCACAGAGAGCTCAGGCCCCTTATCTGTAGCCACCAAGATGCACCCTCTGTGGCATTCGAGGCTCTTCTGAGGGTGGGGAAGCAGCATGGCTCTGCTCTCCTGGGCTGGGACTTTATCTTCCCAGGGGATAGGATGGGAAGGGCTCTGCCAAGCTAAAAGCATTTAAGTCAGCATTGGGGCAAACTGTTAAAATGGAATCACTGGGTCACCAATTCTGACCTTTTTCATAGCTAGATTAGATACCAGGGCTCTTAAAGCCTCCAGGCCCCCAGATAACCACAAGCTTTGGAAGCCACCTACAGCAAAGTGCCCAGAGGCATAGCAGAGAATGCACAGATGGCTCTTACATTCCAGATTTACATCAGCCTGTAAAGTCAGATAGCATGAAACCAACTCTATGAAACCTCAAAGGAGCTAGGAGAGATGCAAGAGTGCCAGACAGAGGCTTTCCTCAGCACTTTAATCCAGCTGAATGGGAAGTGCTTCATGCTGTGTGGTGGCAAAACATGCTCTTCACAGCACTGTAGAGCTGCTGTGTGCCTTGAACCTGCTGCAGCAATCAACCAGTCATGGCTCTTAGTAGCCTGGAGTAACGGTGGCCAATCCACAGTGTTTGTAATTCAAGCATAACTCACCTCTTTGGCTCCAGCAGCTCCCCAGGAACTGCTGGACAATGTGAACCCACTGCTGCAGAAGAAAACAAGCCAGTCAAGACCGTGGAGGCCAGTATCTTGTCTCTTACTGGCTCCCCACAGCAGGGCTTCTCAACAGCCAGCCTGGTTTTGACCTGGAAACTGCTTCCAGAGCCCCCCTGCTCCCTGTTAGTGTGTGGCTGCCCTGTAGCTGAGGGCTTTGGGGCTCAGCTCCTGGCTGATTACCCCAGGCAGGGAGCAGACACAGCTCGGAAGCGGATGAGTAGCGAGCGTGTTGCCATGAGAACTGTAGGTCTCCGGCTGGTTTGCGAAGCAGAGCAGGGAGGGAGTTGCACAGAGTGGGAACAAACACGGGGGTGGATTCAGACAAAAATAGGAGCAACCCAGAGGGAGCAGAGGATAGGAAGCGAGGGCAGCTTAAATCAGAATGAGATTAGTGCAGCTTCCACACAAGAGCGTGGCCCCGGTGCCTGGGAAGCCAGGCTGTGTACGAGAGGATGAGGCAGGGAGTATGCTGAGGCAGTGGCAAGAGGTATGAGAGAGCTCATTTTGTATGGTCTAGAATTGAAGAGCTGAGGACAGAGAATCAGTCAACTGGAAGTCCTGGGGTAACGGTTGGACTTGATTTTAAAGGTCTTTTCCAACCTAGCTGATTCTATCATTCTGTGGAAGCACTGCAGCCAAGAGAAGCTCTCACCACATTACAGACTTCAGAAGCATCCCAGTGGAAACAGCAGCAGGATCTGGGGAGGGTCTGGAGTAGGAACCAGGAAAAGGAACCAGAGCAGCTTGGAGATCTCAGTGTGGACAGCAAGACTGCAATGTAACCAGAGGATCTGCAGCTGCCTACAGAAAGCAGCAGCGAAGACAGACAAGTATCAGCAGTGCAATGCCTGGGGAAGGATGCAAGTCACCGGCCACAGCTCCTCACCATTTTGAGAGCTGTATGGGATTGTCAAGGCTGTGTTGGGCAGAAGTGAGTCACCAGCTCCAAGCAGCATGGACACCTTTTGCTGCTGTAGCCTGCTCTCCCTTGTGCTCCACCAAGCTAATCCTCCACAGCAGCAGACGCTGCACTTCCACACTAACAAGCTTTGGTCATGGAAAGAAGCCAAGATCAACCCAGTTAAAACCAGTGCTTTTGAACCTATGGAGGCAAGAATCCACCAGAAGTTCCAATTGTAGCAGCAGCTCTCTTAGGTAGGAACAAGCCAGTTCTCATTCTGAACAATCTAATAAGCTGCTAAAATATTTAGGTAATGAACACACACAAAGCTGATTGAGACACAGGGTAAGGGCACCTGTACAGCATGAGGCAAGAGTCCTCTCTGCAATTAGATCATTCTGATCTTTACACCACAGGGAAGAATGCAGTAAGTATCACGTGGAGTTTGAACTGGAACTCAAATAACCAGCAAAGGATCTCAGGTCCCTTCACAGCCAAAGAATTGCTAACTAGATCAGAAGACACAGAGAGCACAAGGTCAGTTCTGTGCTACAGAGCAAAGTGTGACATAACCTGCTTCAAAAGAAGCAGACACACCTCCCACTCCAGAAAGCCACCAAGAGCAAGGGGTAACAGAGTCAACAAGCTGCTGCAACACCTTCTCAGCCTGGTTTCTACCTTTCAACGACCACGTTATTGCCTTCCATGTGTTTTGTGATTGGAATACATTCACTACTCAAGAGCAACAGCTTCAGAGGGATTTCTTGTGAAATAAAGAAGCAGCAGCTAAGAGTTAACACACACCTTGCACTCAAAGTAGCCACATGAATAAAGAGGACCAAAACCAGGCAATGAGGTCTCTATGTAGGTATATAACTGCTTTCTCTTCCATCTTGTAGACCCTGAGAATAGATATTTCCTTTCAGCACTGAAATTTCATCCTCTTGGGAATGCAGTGAGTAACCAAGCCTCCCTAAAGAAGCCTTCTAGAAGACCCATTTCAACCAGCTGTCAGCCAAAGAATTCCCACAAATGACATTGGTAAAAATTCCCCAAGAACAGCATTAGAGGCTTTGGCTGAGCAAGGAACCTCCTTGGGCATCACTTTGAAGAGAGACTGTGTGAAGATCGAGGTATCCAAATACTCGTGTTCTCAGTGTGCTGCTTACTCAGGCAAGAGGTCCTCCAAAAATGCCACTGCTTCAGCACAAAAGGGTCAGAGGTACCAGAGAAGGGGGCTTTGCATTAAGAGTTTCTTATCAGCTCTGCTGGGAATCAACATCTCGCCACCAATGCAAAGCACACTGTGAAGTGTAGGCTGCTATAGAAACAGGTTTAGGTAACAGCAGCCTGTGCTGTGTCTCCTTACCTGGGAAGTCGTGGGGTCACCACTGCTGTCAGGGATGGTGCTGGGACTGTTCTGGGGCTGGCCCTCCAGCCAGGAAAGCTTGAGAGGATTATTTATCAGGCCAACTTCATTCTTCACAGCCATCTCCTGACAATGAAAACAGCCATTGAGGATAGCCACCCCCACCTGAATTTCAGACCCCACTCCCTCCCGGGTCACCAACAACCATTAAATTCCATCTCAGCCTGGCAGCAAGGGCAAGCAGGGCACAACCAGCACTGATTTCCCAGCCGCCCTACATGAGGGACACCCTTTAGGGTCTGTATTTGCATTAAATATAGAACATATCGCTGCTGGTACTTTTGATAAACAGGTCACAGGGTCAGAGACAACCCTGAGGGGTTGCCTTAATTATATGGATATATGAGTGAAAGAAAGGTGACAAGGGATAGACACTCTTGTACAGTGAAGTTTAAGTTAAGGGTAACTGATGACTTCTGTTTCCACAGCCACATGAATTATTGTAACTCCCAGTGAATCAAGACATTTTCCTTTCTTTGAAACAAATGCCTGATATAACCTCTAAAACTCCTGAAGCCCGTTCCCACAATAGGTAGTTCACCTTCAGTGAGAGCTGGTTGAACAGCTCAGTGCCTGCTTTTTGAAGCAGTGCTTCTTCCCTCAGCCTTTTCCACACACAACCTGCTTGTTTATGTGCATGACCCGCTCTGGGTTTGTGCCTCCAGCTTTGCCACTCCCTTCAGGCATCTGTACCTTTAGACTCTCATTACTCTTCCTCAGTGCCTTAATGACAAGGCAGCGTCTGGAGGCTGTCAGCTCGCCAAGCCTTCCCTCCTGCAGCACCCCTTCTTGCCCACTGTCAGCCACACACATCCGGGGGCTCTGCCAGACTTACAGCAGCCTTAACCGTAGCAAATTCCACAACTGCACTCCCAGTCTTCCTGCTGGAGATCACCAAGTTGAGCACATCACCATACTGGTAAGACAAAGACAGAAAGACAGGTTAATTGCAGACCCAAGAGATGAAAGCAAAGGGAAAACGTGTTTTCTCAGACATGAGGCTTGAGCTGTCACCATTTCTGTCTTGCAGGATGCTCCCACAGATCCCAAGCTGTCATAATTTCTGCCCCTCCAGGAAATAGTTCTGGGGAGGAATGGAGCTCCACACTTTGCTTCCAGCAAGCCCCAGTGCAAGAGGGCTGCTTTGCTCAGAATCAGGGCTACAGGAGACACTTGCATGAAGGGAAAATAAAGATCACCTGCTGGGATTCCTCACATCAAAGGCTTGTCTATGCCTGTCCCTGCACTTCCCACAGCAGCAGATGTCTAGTGCTTTTAAGTGAAGGCAAAAGTGCACCATAACCACACAGCCAGGCTGACTGCTATGCAGGGCATGAACCACACAGTGGGAAGAGTTTCAGGAGGAGTCCCTGCTGGGAGTGAGCCATTGGTGCTCCCTGGGGAACAGATCACAGCCGATGGGTCATGCTGAAGGCCTCTGAAAATTGTCTGAGAAAGCTGGACAGAGAACTGACCCACTCCAGTTTTTATGTAACTTCCTAGAATCCAACAGCCTTTCTTATACCTTTTGCAGGATCTGGAGCAGAACGTCTTTTGAGTAACCCCCTCTCGTCTCATCTTCCTTCCTGCATTTCCATTTGAGCTGGGAAATAAAGATAAGTTAGTTTTGTCCATGTGAATAGCTCCTGCCACCTGCATGTTAATCTAATCTGCTATTTACAGTTACACCCCCAGAACAGTGACCTCAACATCAGAATGTCCAAAGGGAACAAATTATTTGGGGAACAGGGAGAAGCACTGCTCACTGGAATAAAAAGACTGTACTTGAAAGCATAATAATGGCTCTATCAGGGTAATAAGCAGATGTTTCCCTGTGCTGAAAGCAGAGACAACTCAATTTCAGGCTCAAAAATCTAAACCAGACAGTAGAGAAAAGGGAGAGGGAGAGAGGATGTTTTAAAGGCAATAACAGGAGCTGTTCATATGCATAATGCACAATAGGTAGAGGAACTTCACCTCCACTGTACAGAGGGACACAGCAGTTCAGCAGTCTTGAAGTGTCCCTTCTGTTTTCTGAAGCTGTGTTATGTTCCATCAGTTTTCACCAAACCCCTGCTTTATAAGGATGTCTTACTTTGAGTTTAGGGGTTATTTTCCCTTCAGCTTCTTTTCTTTCTTGCTTGCCTAAAGAGAGGAAAGGAAAAAACAGACAGAAAGGACATGAATGAAGAGCTCTTGGTTAAAGATCAATTAGCACAAAATTCACCCTGAGAACACACATATGGCAATAACAAACAGTCCTGGGCTTTCACTGGATCATTTAATCCCCAAAACTCTCATGCAACACTATCATCAGGAAGCATAGCACAGACTGGATCCTGGATGTCAGCATTTCTTCCTTCTATGATGACCAGACTTGCCACAAGCAAGGCTGGAACAAGCTAAGTAAAAATACAGGCAGGAGATCTGCTTGATTCTAGAACATTTTCCCAGTAAGAGGGTTGTGGTGGTGGGAACAAGTGTGGAAAAATAAAGGGTAGACAAAAAAAGGCAGGACAGCATAACCTGAGACAGCATAATCTGGCCCTGCAAAGAAATACCTTATAGTAGTGTGCTCTCACTGCAAGGATCTCAGAGTGGTTTACAATTAGCAAATGCTTAACATCCTCCCCAGTTCCTGAGATGTGAAATCAAGTTAAGAAAGTCTGAATGAGGGACTGCTGAGGGAGCTGGGGGGTTCAGTGTGGAGAAGAGAAGGCTCAGGGGGGACCTGATGGCTCCCTACAAGTGCCTGAGAGGAGGATGGAGCCAGGAGGGGCTGGGCTCTGCTCCCAAGGAACAAGGGATGGGACAAGAGGAAACGGCCTCAAGCTGCACCAGGGCAGGTTTAGATGGAGCTGAGGAACAATTCCTGCCCCAGAGGGTGCTCAGGCATTGGAACAGGCTGCCCAGGGCAGGGCTGCAGGCTCCGGCCCTGCAAGTGCTCACGCACCGAGGAGACGAGGCCTCAGTGCCATGGGTTGGGGGTGGCCTTGGCAGTGCTGGGGTAAGGGTTGGACTGGATGAGCTTGAAGCTCTTTTCCAACCTGGTTGCTTCCGTGATTTTACGAATGACTGCATACAGCCAGTGGTGTCTGACTGTGCCCGCGTGACTCCCAAAAGAACTCCTACATCTGGACCCCTTGGGTTACTTTTTTACTCATTACATCGATGTTTTTCCTGAGAGAAAGGAACAGATCCTATGCTGCTTCCTCTGCTGGAATGAAAGGAGTAGGAAGCAGGAGACAATAAATCCTCCCATTGAACTGAAACCCTGAGCAGCACTGTAATTAGTTTTGAAAAGAGAACTTTCTGAAACCCAGAACCGTATTTTAAGCCTACACAGACACAGGATACTAGAAAAGGCAATTCACTACAGAACGGTGTGGATGGGCATGAGGTTTAGGTATGCCAAAGGGTGAGGTTCTAGGATTCTGGAAAACTCTCACCCCCTCCTGTATGAGGAAAACTAACTGCTCTGTGCAAGGCTGGGATGGAGACTGTGCATACTCAAGGAACAGGACTTCCAGAAAGTAAACCTCAGCAACCATACCACACTTTGTTCTCCACACTGAGTCTCTTTTGGGTGATGAGTACTGGGACCTGGCAAGGGAATACCAGAGCAGTAAACCAACAACAATCATTAGTTTTTGCAAACTTGAATCATTCCCTGAGTCTGCAACACTGACTGCTTCCACTGAGAGATGAGCAGGACTTCAGGCTCACTCCAGCATAACTGTGGGGCTCCACAGACCACCTGGATTCAATACTCCAAAGTATTTACTGGAAAGGAGCAGCAGCCTGTTGAAGAGCAGCATGAAACTTATAAGGAAGCAACTTCACAGAGATACCAGTCTTTTGACTTCGCCATGAAGAAGGTGCAAGTCCTACACAGAAGGTGACCAAGTGATAAGGCTGCACCAGTGCCCGAGCTCTGTCTGCAGAAGAGCTGGAGTCCCCCACACACATACTTTGGCCGAGGGCTCCAATCTCTGCTCTCACCTTGGAAGTGCTGCTCTCTCTCACGCCAGATCTGCTCCTGAATGAGTCTCTGCTGCTCCCTGAGCTGCCGGGAGCCTTCTTCACGCAGGCGGATTATCTACAGCAGAGGGGAGATGGCACAGGCATGAGGGCTCAGTTCCATGGCTGGCTCAAGGCTGACGAAGGGAGTTCTTATCTTACACCCACCTCCTGTGGCAACCCTCCTGCTAGTTCACCTGCTAGAGCTCCAGCACTCATAATCAGACCACTCATGTTCCTAGTGCCTGTTGGCCAGCACATAACCCATTAGCTGTTGTTATTGTCTGCTATGGCAAAGGAGGCTGGACAAACAGATAACATCCCAAGAGTGGCACACGCCAGACTGCTACAAGATCTCTTCTCCATGCCCCTTTCGGAGAGTCCATTAATCCAAAAGGCTGGAGATCTGCTACACAGATTTGGTGCATCACATCCCATGGATTTCATTATGAAACCAAAGATTTTCAGCTATTCTTTGTAAAAGAAGCAGAGAAAACTCTTCAGAATTTATCATTACTTCTTGTTCTAATGATCTCGTTGTCCTGATTTCCTCCTCTTCAGTCTCATAGGCCTGAGCTTCCCGTTCTCTGGCTTCAAGATCTGCAGAGAAAGCAACCAAATGAGAACAATCCAAAGGGAATTTTCACTGCTGACCAGAGCTGGATGCAAAGAAATAAACTTGGCACCTACACCAATTTCAGGGTAGAGCCCTGACAGCCCTGCTACCTCCCCTCTGCCAGTGTATCACCAGTATTCCAGTCCTCCAACCCCCTGATCCCAGAGCAGAACCATCCCACCTATGGCTCTGGGAGGAGATTTCAGATGGCTACAGCATTGTACTGGGCACAAAGAGGCCACAGCCATGGCAGACGAGCAGCAGATTAACCCGTGGTCAGTTCCAGCAGCAGCAGAAATGCAGACACCCAGCTAAGGAAGGCTTCAAGCCCAGAGCAAATGAAGGTTTGATGTCATTACCAAGCTTCACTTTCTTTCTCTTCTCATCAAGTGCCTGTGTCCTCTCTGCAGCCTGTTTCTTGGCTTTTCGCACCTTGTCATACGCCGCCTGTCAGAGAACAACACAACAGTGTGAAACTGTGTAAAGTGGGAGGGAGAAATGGAAAGCAGTGAATAAAGGTCACATCAGACACTGAAACACTGTAAGCAGAGGGAAAGATCTGCTGCTTCCTGCTGACACTGCTCCTGAAAGTGTTGGAAGCTCACACAAATACCCCGGGAACATGAGAAGAGGCCCACGGATCTCCAGATGGAGCCTGAAGGGGCACGGGAGTCTGTAAGTAACTGCAAAGAGTACTGGAGAGAAGGTCTGCCCCTTCTTCAGAGATGGCAACAGTACTTTGGGTTCCTGAACATGCCCAAAGCAGCTTTAGGGGCACTGGTAACAGATCAGGGTTGGTTTAGAGCAAAGGTTTACAGTTAAGGAGGTCTGTTTTACATGAAAGATTCATACAAGATGGGCATCAGACTCACATGCGTGTGTGAGATCAAAGAGCACCAGAAGTCTTGAGCAGCAGTAGCACATCAACATTCATTTAGCACTACAAAGACCTCAGAACTGGGGGAAACCAGCTATTTCACTGGCACCTGCTTAAACCAGTTGGTAATCTCTTCATCAGCCTACACAGAACCTGTCTGTACTATCTAAAGCACAGTGCTCACATCTTACTTGTAGAGTAGCTGTACAGGAAAGCACTGCTCTTGCTTTACAGACTACAGAAGCTGGTGTTTTCCCTTCCTGCATGGGAGGGGTTTGCTAAATACTTTCTCCTTTTCAAAATGTAGAAGCCAAAGAGCTCCTGGATGCCAAATCTAAATTGCCCCTTGTCAGGGAGATCACAAACCTTGCCAATGTTTGAACAGAGGAGAGTTATCTCACGTCTTTCAATCTTATAACCTGAAGTTTCAACATTCCTTCTCTCCTCAGTTTATCTGGGTATAGTCACCTGCTCAGTTTTATCTGGGTTTATTCCTCCCCATCACACATTCAGATTACTTTCAGGCCTCAAGCAGTGGGCACTCAACCACTTCCTCACAGCAAGAGAGCCCAAACTACACCTGGCAGCAAAGCTCTTGCAGCAGAAGGAAAGAGACTGTGATTCTGATTCAGCTTTGCTGTTCACAAGTCTCCTTTGTGCCCTCTGGAAAGGCTTTGAGCCTTGGCAACCACAGCTAGATAGTATTTATTTGTCAGACCTTGTCTTCAAGGGAACTGCAGATGCACTGTTGCCATGGGAATCCCATGTGGCCCTGCATCGTGTAGTGGTTATCAGATTTTAAATGGGATATGCTCCAGTCTAACACATTATTAAAGACAGTATCTCACCCCTGAATGAAGGGACAGAGCTAGTACCAGCACATCAAGCCACAAAAAGAACATTTGTCTAAGCTCTTATCTGTCATCTACAATATGACCTCATGGAGAACTACAGGGAGGAAGAGATGAGACTTGCATTCATGAGGGCACACTGGAGGTGAGCAGGACAGAGAGGCAGAGTTGCCAGTACCTCTTCAGCGTACCTGCAGCACCACACAAGCCCAGCACCACTGAGGGATGGGTGTCATAGAACCAACCAGGTTGGAAAAGAGCTTCAAGCTCATCCAGTCCAGCCCTTTCCCCAGCACTGCCAAGGCCACCCCCAACCCATGGCACTGAGGCCTTGTCTCCACAGTGTGTGAACACTTGCAGGGCCGGTGCCTGCAGCCCTGCCCTGGGCAGCCTGTTCCAATGCCTGAGCACCCTCTGGGGCAGGAATTGTTCCTCAGCTCCATCTAAACCTGCCCTGGTGCAGCTTGAGGCCGGTTCCTCTTGTCCCATCCCTTGTTCCTGGGGAGCAGAGCCCATCCCCTCCTGGCTCCATCCTCCTCTCAGGCAGTTGTAGGCAGCCATCAGGTCCCCCCTGAGCCTTCTCTTCTCCACACTGAACCCCCCAGGTCCCTCAGCCCTTCCCCATCACACTTGGGCTCCAGGGCCTGCACCAGCTCCATTGCCCTTCTCTGGCCCCGCTCCAGCACCTCAAGGTCTCTCTTGGAGTGAGGAGCCCAGAACTGAACACAGGACTCAAGCTGCAGCCCCACCAGCGCCCAGCACAGGGGAGGATCCTTACCCTCGCTGCTGCATCTGTGAGCACCGCTAAGGCCTGAGACAGTTGGTGGAAGACTTCCGCTGGGGATTAGAAGAAAAAAGGGTGAGATGCAGAGAAGCATGCTAGCAGCCTGGGGGTGAACCAGGAATGACATTCCCTTATAGGTGACACCTGCAGAACAGCAGAAAGAATAATCTTTCCAAACCATTTGTAACGCTATAGCCAGGATCACCTCAACACACAGCACTGGTTATATAAATCAGTGTGAATTAGGAAACCAAAACTGGGACTCTTTCATTGGAACAGAAACCTAGAAAACATGAATTCCACAGAACCAACCTACAGCAGCTTATCACTCAACCTGCAGCCAGCCTGAAACCCAGTGTTGTAACCAAATCTTCCCTTTCACATCAACAGCTTTGCAGCCTAGCATTCAAGCTTTGCATTTTACAGTAATGTTGACAACCCTCTTCCTGGAAGAGTTGCACTTACAGGCTGGAGGCTTCCACACACACTTCACTTCTCAGCATTCTGCACACCTCAAAACCCGCAGCTTTCCTCTCACTGCTTCTAGAAGCTTGTTTCTCTGTTGTGATATTTTAACCTGTATTCCAGCTGTAAGCTTCCAATCTATTGGACTGTAGCCCATTGAACTGGGAAATGCAAAGCACAGAGCCATGTTTATTTTGAGGTGTCCCGATGAACGGCCTCCTTCGTCCTTACCACTGCTGTTCACTGCCACCTGCAGCTATAAACTGAAACAGAGAAGCTGCAAAAGCCAGACCCTGCTAACAGTTCAGGTATGCTCAGCTCTGCAGAGTCAGGGCCTTGTCTCTAACAGATAAAAACACACACTGCCCATAGATATGACTTATAAACTATCATATACTCATATGATTTATAAATTTGCTGTTGAGGTTTTCACTAAGAGGTATGAATTAAAGCAGTGACCAGCCAGTGAACACTGGGACAGCATGGCCAAAGGACTGGGCGTCAAGTACTATCGGGGAAGGTTTGGGAGGTGCAAATACAATTGCAGCACTGCCTTAACACTGATGGTCCCCAAGCAAACATGACTGCATTCAACCTCAAAACCAGAGCTCTCTGGCAGTGACAAAATAACTCTTAGTCCTGCCTGTGTGTACTTTACATCACACGTACCCAGGTCCCTTACTTACACACACAGGCAGACCTGAAGCAAGGCAGAGCTGCTTCCAGGAATGTGCACACGTGAAAACAAACATGAGCTGCTGTTTATGTCTGCACAGCCCCATCTCACCTGCCCTGGGGTTGTCCGGGTTCTTATCGGGGTGGCACGTCAGGGCCTTCTGCCGGTACGCCTTCTTCACCTGCAAAGAGCCAGGGGGGAGAGTTACTTATTGCTCTGTGTTGAGAAAAGCAACCTGAGGATAAGAACCAACAGCACAACACTACAGAGAGAAAAGGACTGTTCAGAGGGTTTCTTTTGTTGTGGGTTTTGCTGCACTGAAAGCACACCTCTCTAAGTAAGCAGAAGGCCGTGGTTGAAGCAGCATTCATGTGCATGACTTGACATCCTCCAGGCCTGACCAGAAATAAAGACCTTTGTAGAGTACCAATAGCTCACCCCCCCACCCCCCCACGTTGAAGGGTAAAGCAGGCTACTGTGACAGCAAGAGACCTCCGAAATGCTCGCTTTTCAACCTCAGTGCAGTGACTTGTCCTTTTTAATCACACTGCACCATGAGGACAAGCGCTGGAGCCCAGGACACTCCGTCGGCACCGGTATCTTGAATGGGTCTCAGCTTCTCAAAGCCAGAGGTTTCACTTGTAGGTGCATTGGGCTGCAGCAGTCAAACCTCAGGATCACCCCAGCCAAGTCTGGTTCACCGAGGCAGAGGGATAGCATGCTCTTTGCAGCTGCAGCTTTGGGACACAGCAAGCACCATTTACTGTACAACTGGCTTTGGAGAGGTGAGGGGTTTTTGACCAAAGACTGTTTAATGCCTTCTACACTTCAAAGAAAGCCTGACACCTTTGAGCTTAGTCATTGTTATCAACCTAAGTCCCCTTTGTTAGTGAACAAGAAAGGTTGGGAAGAAAAGCTGCTTGCTCTGTTCCATAGCCAAAGCACATTCCTCTGCTAAAACAAGTGAAGTTCTCAGTGCCCAGCACCACCCTGTGGACAAAGCTCTTGTAAGGGGAATGTGCACTAAAGCCTTGCAGGCTAATCCCATCTCCTGAATAAGCAGGACTGCACTTAAGAGCCAGGTAACTCTCCTTTGCATCAGTCACAACTATTCCAATAACAGAAATATTCCACAGGCCAGCACAGATAAGGCTTCTCTGAACAGAGAAGGCTGCGTGGAAACCTCATAGCAGCCTTCCAGTATCTGAAGGGGGCCTACGGGGATGCTGGGGAGGGACTCTTCATTAGGGACTGCAGTGACAGGACAAGGGGTAACGGGTTCAAACTGAAACAGGGGAAGTTTAGATTGGATCTAAGGAGGAAATTCTTTCCTGTGAGGGTGCTGAGGCACTGGAATGGGTTGCCCAGGGACGTTGTGAATGCTCCATCCCTGGCAGTGTTCAAGGCCAGGTTGGACAAGGCCTTGGGTGCCATGGTTTAGTGTGAGGTGTCCCTGGCCATGGCAGGGGGCTGGAACTGGATGATCTTAAGGTCCTTTCCAACCCTGACTGCTCTATGAAATCTTGTGTTTCCCTTTAATTCAATCGGTAAATCACGTGGACAGGGGTAACTCCAAACCTCCAAAGCCAACACCATGGATTACGGGAACCGGCAGTACCCAGCGCAGCCTCCAACAACCGGCAGCGGGCTCAACGCGGCAGCTTCCCTCCCGGGCGCACACGAGCAGTCAAACCCAGCCCGAGCCCAGCTCCGCAGCTCTCCCCAGCCGATCCCTTCCTCCTCCGAAGCCAGGCCTCGCTCCACGGGCCTGAGCTGGGATAAACGGGAGGGTAAACTGCGCGCAGCAAAGCCACCGCCGCTAAACCCGGCTTCCCCGCTGAGGGGCACCGAAAGGAGGCCCCGGCCCGGGACTCCCCGTGGCGGCTCCCGGCCGCTGCCCTCACCTCCTTCTCCGACGCCTTCTCGCCGACCCCGAGCAGCCCATACAGGTCCAGCTGCAGCAGGTCCTTACCCACCGCCATCCCGGCGCTCTCCGCCTGCTGCCGGGCCGGGCCCGCCCCGCCCGCGGGGAACCGCAACCTCCACTACCACAACGGCCGCTGCAGCGGCGGCACCGCGACTACAGAGACCAGAATGCACCGCGACTACATAGACCAGGGTGCACCGCGCCCCCGCTGCCGCCGCCGCGGTGCTTGCTGGGGATGGAGTTCCGTGGCGGCGGCTGCCAGCGAGGAGGGGCGGGCGAGGGACTACAACTCCCGTGGTGCTTTGCGGAGGGCAGGCGGAGCGCGGGGCCGTCGGGGGCCGCGGCGGTGCGGGGGGAACGGGAGCTGCGAAGCGGAGCCCAGCGATGCGCTGGCCCCGGGAGGAGCGGGTGTCCCCCGGCAGCGCGTCCTGGGGGCAGGTCGCTGGTGCTGTGAGCCCCACTGCGGTCCCTTCCGAGCCATCCCGACCGGGGAAAGCGCTCATCCTTGCTGACGGATGGCTTTCAGACAGCTGGTGATGGGTGGGAGCAGTGGGAAGGGTTTGACAGAGTGTATTCCGTGATACTGATGCGCACTGTGACTCTTGGTTGGCAAGAGGCAGGAGAACAGGAGGGTGCTGCTGTCCCGGGACCTTCACGTTGACCATTCGCACCTGCCCAGCGCTCTCAGCATGGACAGCAGTGACACCACGAGGAAGTGCATGGGCACACGAGTGAACGCTGGCAGAGCTGCCACTGTAAGCGGCGAGGAGAAGCAAGACAGGCCAACCCAGTGTGGGTGATAAGCAAACTTCTCCTTTATTTGTGGCGCACTTCGCTTGTATCCGCGTGGTGTTTAGCCACGCCTCGAGTCACAACAGTCTTGGTCAGTTCTACACAGCTTCCTCCACGTTCTCCTCCCACATCCGGTATCCGGTTACCTGTGAGGCCTGCCCCTTGCCTTGCTCGCACAAGGCCTCTAAGGCTCCGTGGCCTTGCTCTTGGAGCCATTCTGCAACACTCCTGCCATAGAATCATAGAGTGGTTTCGGTTGGAAAGGACCTTAAGATCATCCAGTTCCACCCCCCTGCCATGGGCAGGGACACCTCACACTAAACCATGGCACCCAAGGCTCTGGCCTTGAACACTGCCAGGGATGGAGCATTCACAACCTCCCTGGCCATGCTAGGCCCCTGCTCCTGTGGAACCTGTGCTGGGATCGGCTCCCTGGTGCATGCCGCTGCCCGGAGCTCCAGCCTGGCTGCCGCTGCTGGTTTCTCCCCCTCTGTCCCCCGAGCGCACCGTCCTGGGCGAGTCGAGGAGGAGAAGCCGGCTGCAGCCTGGGGCGAGGCACAGGCTCCGCAGGCGCAGGAGCCAAGCCCGGTGGCAGAGGAGGAGGGACCGGTACGAGCAGCAGGCTCCGCACCCCTCGCTCGACGCCCCGGTCCCCCCCGGGAGAGGAGAGCGCCGGCAGCGGAGAGGCCCCTCCAGGAACCGGAGGCGGTCCCGACAGAGCCAGCGCAGCCGTGCCCGGCGCGGGACCGTGTGAGCCCAACAGCGGCTGCTGGAGCCGGCTGCATCCCGCCGGGATTCGGTGATGTCCAAGGATGGAGCCTCCGCCTCCCCTTGTTATCAATACTGTAGCGAATTTTGGTTTAAAGTATAAATTTTATCAAAGTGAGTTAGAGATAGCACATAAATCAGCGCTGGGTCCGCCGAGGACTCCTCCGCCCCGCCCAAGACGCGCCCAGGGGGTCCCTGGGAGGCGGTCCTTTACCTTTTTCGGTTCAAGGTCCCAGCCAATCCTGTCGCCCCTCCTCACTCGGATGTTGACATCGCTCTTCCCCATTGGTTCCCTTTGTTGCAGGGGGTCTCATCACCGAGAAGTTTCGGGAAGTTTCGAGAAGCTCCCAGAGGCTTCGAGAAGCGTCCTCTGCCAGCCTCCAGCCTCCTCAGCGCCGCAGCCCCCGCCCCTCAAGCGTTGCAACGAGACACCACTTGGAGCCAGCCAGCCCCCTTTTCTCCCACAATCCTGTGCAACAACTGACCTCCCCCCATTACCTACAGAGTACAACAGGTACAGAGTCAAAAAGGAGAATTGTTTCACGTAACGACAGCCACGGAGAGCCTCCCTCCCCCTTGATGAACAAACCCCACACATTACACCCTCTGAAGAGCTGGTTCCAGCGCTTGACTCCTCCCCAAATAAACTCTCTATCAGAGGTGGCAAGAGGTTCCTGTTGGTACAGAGAAAACACCAGGAACAAACTCGCTAACAAAGTTTTCAAGCTGACCAGCAGGTATTTTTTATTGCGGCGCCGGCAGACCCGGGCGAGAGCTCCTCCTAACGTGTGTCCCCATTGCCACACAAGCCGTCCTTTATAGCCTCTGGGCATACATACATATTCATGAGGCTGCGTATGGATTACATCGTTTTCCAGAAAGTTCCCCCATGCGAACAGAATTGCGGGGGTGGTCTCTGAGGTCGCTCACTTCTTCCAACGATCTTCATCACTTCTGGCAGCCTTTGAAGCACGCACAGTAGATGCTCATACCAGTTAATCGCTTGTTAGCACCACAGACAAAATTATCCTCCTGCTTATCAGGCAGTTTAACTGTAGCCCGTCCTGGACACCTGCGGTTCCCGGATGCTCCTTATCCCTGGGTCCTGTTCTTCTAGGCTGTTTTTCTTAGAATACGTCACAACTATAACAACGATAACAATTTATCTTCTGAGAACTCTCACTATGTTCTCTAGCTGTACTCTATTTTTTTTTCTCTATGTATCATGCACCTCAGTAATTTTCCATTGCTACTGTTGATGCAAAGGGTTGACCAATGTACAGGGGGGTATTGATGCAAAGGGTGGACCAATGTACAGGGGGGTAGTGCAGGGGGGGTAGTACAGGGGTTGTGGTACAGGGGGGTTGAACGGGGAATTGTGCAAGGGGGTTAGAGGAATTTGTTTGCTAGAGGAATCTGTTTAAACAAATAGACTACCTGTTGTAAATGCCTGCTAAGCAAAACAGAGGCCTCCGGTCCTGTTAATGAGCAGATGCCTGAAACCTCCGGTCCTGTTAATGAGCAGATGCCTGAATCTACTGATAAAGGGAAAAGCAGAAGGTTTACGGCTGGAACACTGATCAAACTCTACTGATAAGGGGAAGGAGCAGAGAATTTATGGCTGGGAAACTGACCAAACTCTACTGATAAAGGGGAGAAGCAGAGAATTAACGGCTGGGATAATGACCAAACTCGAAGGCCACATGTAATGACTAGAAAAGGTGAAAAGTGCAAGAAGAGGAAGACTCATTTACTTCATCTTGAAGACCCCTGCCCAGAGGAGGAAGACTCATTTACTTCATCTTGAGACCCCTGCCCACGACCGGAGGGGGGCACTGAGCAGGCGCAGAGGACTTTCTGACTCATTATAATACGAAGCGGGGATAGGACATGAATATGTATAGGCGTATTGTGTAACCTCATGAATATATATAACTTTAGAGATGTCCTGGGTTCAGCAGTAGCAGTCATGTTTTTTCCTTTGTGTTAACTGGTGCAGTGCTGTGTTTTGACTTCTAGTTTTGAGAACAGCGTTGGTGAAGCCGATGTTTTCGGTTGTTGCTAAGTGATGTTTACCCTGACCAAGGACTCTGTGAGGCTCATGCTCTGCCAGGGAGGAGGGGAAGCTGTGAGGAAGCAGAGACGGGGCGCCTGACCCGGGCTAGCCGGGGAGGTATTCCATACCACAGCACGTCATGCCCGGGGTGGGGGGTAACTGGGAGTTACCCGGAAGGACAGGGGCTTCCGGGTGGAACTCGTCTTCTTGGCCGGTGGTATCGTATTCTCTTCCCTTGTTATTTTCCCTTATCATTGTTTTAGCTGATAGTAGCGGTGGTGATTTGTTGCTGGACTGTTCTTGTCTCAACCCGTAGGAGTTGCACTCTCTCGATCCTCCTCCCCGTTCCTCCGGGAGCGGGGAAGGGGAGAGCCCCGGGGCGGGGCGGGGGGGGGGGGGAGACGGACACGGACTTCGATTGTTGTCAGCTCGGCACCACTCACTGGGAGTGAGCGAACAAGTTACCTGACTGGGTTTAAACCACGACAGTTCTTTTTGGCGCCCAACGTGGGGCACGAGGGGTTGAGATAAGAACAGATCTGACTGGACTGATAGTCACTCGTCACAATGCTGATTTATTGGCTCTCAAGGTTTTTCCTCTTGATCTCACAGTTTCAGTATATCATATCTTACGTAGAGCCGGTATTCGCTGTGTTAGTGTTTATTAAGTGTGGGGCTTGGGCTAAGGTTTTTATCCCATTGTACTTTATGGTAATGACTTGTAATACAATAGAATCATTGATCATGAAACTGATCTGGCTTATGTTCCCAGTGTGGTCACCACCTTTATACTTTGGGAGGTATATGATGGAGGTGCTTAGCAATTACACATCTTTTTTCTCCTTCTCAGGTGCTCAACCTGTGAAGGAGACATCCTTTTACCCTCCTAGTCGTCCCCCCAGACCATTTACATTTGAGAGTTTTGAATTTTTTGAATGGCCTTTTAATGCTGTTGAGACTTGTTTGCTGATGGTGATGGGAATCACCATGCTAACACGCATACAGAGTGTGTTTTGCCCACTACTGATTTCAAGAGTTAAGCAGATTCAGGTTTGGGTCTTGTCTGGGGTCAAACGACGATGTAGGAGGACCGAGAGATTTTCCCAGAGGCTGGACAGCCATGAGTGGCAGGGTGTGTGGGATAGTATGGGCAAGTATCTAGGTCAGTGGGCCCCTCCAGTACTTTGGAATTTCACTACCGAACAACTGCAAAATCCAGAAGAATTAGTAAAACACTTAAATGAGGTGTGTGGTCATTCTGGCCATACCAGAGATGGACAAATCACGGCAACGTGCTGGGGCTTGGCCTATGCTTACAGGGCCTTGTTCAACACTATCCAGCACCTTCAAAAGGAAAAGAATGTCAGCAGATTTGAGGGCAAAGCAACAGTCGCTACTCAAACTTTGGCTGCAATGAACTGCGCAGCTACCCCAGTGGCAAGTACAGCAGCTGCTCAAACTTCAACTGCAACAGACAGCGCGGTTACCCCAGCTGCAAGCACGGTAGCTACACCACCCCCAGCAACAAGTACAGTCGCTACTCAAACCACAGTGATAATCACTGCAGCCAAACCAATCATTGGTGGTAGCAGTAGTGATTTGTGTTATACCTTAGTTACTAAACTGTTCTTATCTCAACCCGTGGGAGTTGCATTCTTTTGATTCTCCTCTCCGTCCCTCCGAGAGCAGGGGGAGGGCAAGAAAGGGGGGGGAGGTGAGTGAACGAATTACCTGACTGGGTTTAAACCACGACAAGAGAATAAATGTAGAGGGAAACAACACTGAGATACGCATATCTTTGAGGAATTATCCCTATGCGTCTCAGCGCTGAATAAAAAAGCATACCTACTTTACAACTTTTAACGAGTTGTGGAGTTTATCCGCGCATCACTGTTACAAAGCCATCAAACTTAACATTACTTAAATCTAATTCAAAACGTTTCTATATTCCATTTGGCGATTTTGTGCCCCCTTGATTCAGGTGTCAAGGGGACTCTTGTGACATCACGGGTGACATCACAGGTGTCACAGGGACTCTGGTGACATCACAGGTGACATCACGGGGCTCCATGGACCGCGGGGCAGGGTGGGCAATGGGGAGAGGCAGGAGGGGGAGCTGAGGCTCTGTGCTCTCGTGCTGGGGTGCTGAGACCTCCGGCTTCGTGTGACGGGAGGAGCGCGAGGGAGACTCCTCCGCAAAGCCCTTCCTCCCCAGAGCCCCGCGCAGGGCAGAGGCCGCACCATAAGGGCACCAGCAGCACTTCCCTCAGGCTGGGCAAGGAGATGAGCTCAGGACACGCTTCTGTCTCCAAAGCAGAGGAATAAACGTGAGCAGAGGGTTCAGCATCACAGGAAAGGAGCCTTGTCCTGGAGCCAAGGAGCGGGGCCTCCACTCTCTTATCCCCAAGCACATCCTGACCTCGGACTCCTGGCAAGGCCTCGGTCCTTGGCCCTGGCTGAGCCGCCTGCTGAGGCAAGATCAAGGGGTGACTGCTAACAGGGGCCAGTTTCCATGCGGTGCTTCCCAATGAAGCCGTTGGAGATGGGTCTCTTCAGTGCCTGTCCCCGCCGAGACGCGTGCTTGGGGACACGAATGTGCCGCAGGTCACAGGAAGCGAAGGAAGATGAAGGGGCTGGAGCATCTCTCCTACGAGGAAGAGCTGAGAGGGCCCCTTCCTCTCCCCCCTTCCCAGCCCACAGCCACATCCCGCTCAGAGGTCACAGAAAGCAAGTCCCGCATTCACGTTAGAACGAGGATTTATTTGGACTTATGCTGGCCCTGGGCACCGTGCTTTGAGGCAGGCGCCGGCGTCACGAGTCCTGTTGCAAAGGCGTCAGGGCAGGAACCGCCGCATGCCCGTGGAGTCCCGCACAGGTGCCATGGGCCAGAGCTGTGCCAGCTCCCGGCATTTCCCGGCAATGTGTGCGTCCAGTTTGTTGTACACCTCCTGGCTCAGCTGCAGCCTGGGCACGGGAGCAGGCACCGAAGCAGGAGGCTGGCTCGTGTCCGCAGGGCTGGCCTCCCATCTGCACTGGGGAATGGGGAGGTCCGTCTGGAGGCCGACATCTGTCTTCTGCGGGACCGAAGACGATGCTGGTCCTTTTGCCGCTTCTTCTGCCTTGTGGTCTGGCTCGGGAAGGGCTGGCTGGGCTGAGGATGAGCCAAGACGCCACGGGAACGGCTCCCGCTGCAGCAGCTGCCCATGCGGCTGAAGGAGGCTCTCACTGATGCCGGTCCCTGGCGCTGGTGCTGCGCTGGAGAAGCAGACGGCCCCACCCGCGGCCTTCGAGTTGTGCCGGCTGGGCAGCTCCTGCCCTCCCTCCATGGGCTGCCCCATGGCTCTGGCCTGAGCCAGGGCCCGGGCTCCCCGTGTGCGGTGTTTCCTGGCCACGTAAATCTTCAGTGCTGACCGGGCCCCCCCGGCACGCAAGGACTCCGGGGAGGAGGCAGATCCCAGCCGCACGGGGGTCCCTGCGTCCCGGCTCTCGCAGGCGTCCGTCAGGCTCCCAGGGCTGCCGAGGCTCGTGGAGGAGCTGCGGCTGCGGCAGGAGAGGCAGCCCCGCTTCCGCAGCGCCCGCAGGTCCCCCCCTGCTCCCTGCCGGGTCCCGTGGTCCTGTGCAGGCACTGAGCCCATCCCCAGCGGCGGTGACAGCATCACTTGCTGCAGCTCCTGGGCAGCCCAGGGGCAGTGCAGGCAGTTGAGGCACATCCCACACTTGCCACGGGCGAAAGAGGGAGGGGGGCCTGAGCCGTGGGGCTGGGGACAGCAGGGCCTCAAGGGGCTGCCCCAAGGGGCCCCGCTCTGCCCTCTCCCGCCGTGGGGACAGGCCCAGCTATCCCCTGCGGCACACGGAGGACCCACGGGGCTCTTTGGGCTCTCCAGTGCTGCCGCTGGCTGCCACCACGCGCAGCATCGCCAGCTCCATTTGTCACCCTGTGGGAACAGAGCAGAGCACAGAGACCTGCTGGGGAGGACCTCATCAGCACCCACCCCGAGGGACCCCTGGCTCTGAGCAGCCCCTACTTTTGGCCGCCGGGTGGTGGTGAACAGGATGGTCCCCACAGCCACGATCAGGATGCTGAGGCCGAGGATGCAGCTGGAGTCAGTCGTCGTGCAGGGCCCGACAGGGGCGCACTGCGGGGCGCAGCAGGGTGCTTGCATGACGGGGACGCTGCTTCCCTGCTCCCAGTTCCTGCCTGCCTGTTCCGCACGGATCAGGCACCGTCCTGCCCTGGGAAGAGCAAAGGTTTGACCAGGAGCGTCACGTACAGGGGAAAGAGCTGCAACGGAATTTGCTTTCACTTCTGGACAAACCCTGACGTGCTGGGGTGTTGGACACGGGGATTGCTGCAAGCCCCTCCCAATGGAGCTGCTCTACAGTTCTGGGGCTCTCCCTTTTCTCCTCCTCTCCCCCTTCTCTTCCTCTTTCCCCTTCCCCATCAGCCCGGCCATAAGGAGACCCGAGGAAACCTGGGCAAGGTTTCGCGCCCCTGTGCAGCCTCCCAGCCTTTACTCACAGGGAGCAGCTCCAGTCGGCGCCGTCGGCATCCTGGCTCTGTGCCACGGGTCCGATCCGCTCCCTCTGCCAAGTCCGCATCTCTCCCCGAGGTGCCCGGCTCAGGACGCTCGGCCAAATGAGCCTTCACCCCTGGAGCCTGCGTCTGCTTTTGTGCCCAGAGCCCGGTGATGTCACCGGGGTCACTGTGACGCTTCTGACATCGCCCCTTGGGAGCCGCGCTCGGCAGCGCCGGGGGCCCCAGCGCTGTCCCCGTGCATGGGGACAGCGGCTGCGGGGGGACGAAGGAGCCCGGCCCCTGCGCTGCCCTCGCGGCCAGGCCGGGAGCCGCTTTGCTGCCGGAGAGGTCAGTCCCGGCAGCGGGAGCGCTCGGAGATGCCCCCGGTGCCGCTCGCCTGCCCCAGGACGGGCCCTGGCTCGCCCCCGGCAGCGCGGGCACCTCCTGGGGCTTCCCTGCCTCGGGCCGGTGGTGCCCGCAGGGCAGGGCTGAGCTCCGCATGGCTTTGGGTTGCAGGGACCTGGCGGACGGGGAGCGCTTGGGCAGGGGCAGCTCTGCCCTGCCAACAGCAGGCGGGGGGCCCGGGCGGCGCCGATGGAGGCGTCTGAGGAGCCGAGGGGCCAGGAACCCCCCAACGACGGAGTCTGCCTGGGCTCCTGCAGGCACTGCTTCTGCTTGCCCTGCATCCAGCAGTGACCAGCCAGTGAACACTGGGACAGCATGGCCAAAGGACTGGGCGTCAAGTACTATCAGGGAAGGTTTGGGAGGTGCAAATACAATTGCAGCACTGCCTTAACACTGATGGTCCCCAAGCAAACATGACTGCATTCAACCTCAAAACCAGAGCTCTCTGGCAGTGACAAAATAACTCTTAGTCCTGCCTGTGTGTACTTTACATCACACGTACCCAGGTCCCTTACTTACACACACAGGCAGACCTGAAGCAAGGCAGAGCTGCTTCCAGGAATGCGCACACGTGAAAACAAACATGAGCTGCTGTTTATGTCTGCACAGCCCCATCTCACCTGCCCTGGGGTTGTCCGGGTTCTTATCGGGGTGGCACGTCAGGGCCTTCTGCCGGTACGCCTTCTTCACCTGCAAAGAGCCAGGGGGGAGAGTTACTTATTGCTCTGTGTTGAGAAAAGCAACCTGAGGATAAGAACCAACAGCACAACACTACAGAGAGAAAAGGACTGTTCAGAGGGTTTCTTTTGTTGTGGGTTTTGCTGCACTGAAAGCACACCTCTCTAAGTAAGCAGAAGGCCGTGGTTGAAGCAGCATTCATGTGCATGACTTGACATCCTCCAGGCCTGACCAGAACTAAAGACCTTTGTAGAGTACCAATAGCTCACCCCCCCACGTTGAAGGGTAAAGCAGGCTACTGTGACAGCAAGAGACCTCCGAAATGCTCGCTTTTCAACCTCAGTGCAGTGACTTGTCCTTTTTAATCACACTGCACCATGAGGACAAGCGCTGGAGCCCAGGACACTCCGTCGGCACCGGTATCTTGAATGGGTCTCAGCTTCTCAAAGCCAGAGGTTTCACTTGTAGGTGCATTGGGCTGCAGCAGTCAAACCTCAGGATCACCCCAGCCAAGTCTGGTTCACCGAGGCAGAGGGATAGCATGCTCTTTGCAGCTGCAGCTTTGGGACACAGCAAGCACCATTTACTGTACAACTGGCTTTGGAGAGGTGAGGGGTTTTTGACCAAAGACTGTTTAATGCCTTCTACACTTCAAAGAAAGCCTGACACCTTTGAGCTTAGTCATTGTTATCAACCTAAGTCCCCTTTGTTAGTGAACAAGAAAGGTTGGGAAGAAAAGCTGCTTGCTCTGTTCCATAGCCAAAGCACATTCCTCTGCTAAAACAAGTGAAGTTCTCAGTGCCCAGCACCACCCTGTGGACAAAGCTCTTGTAAGGGGAATGTGCACTAAAGCCTTGCATGCTAATCCCATCTCCTGAATAAGCAGGACTGCACTTAAGAGCCAGGTAACTCTCCTTTGCATCAGTCACAACTATTCCAATAACAGAAATATTCCACAGGCCAGCACAGATAAGGCTTCTCTGAACAGAGAAGGCTGCGTGGAAACCTCATAGCAGCCTTCCAGTATCTGAAGGGGGCCTACGGGGATGCTGGGGAGGGACTCTTCATTAGGGACTGCAGTGACAGGACAAGGGGTAACGGGTTCAAACTGAAACAGGGGAAGTTTAGATTGGATCTAAGGAGGAAATTCTTTCCTGTGAGGGTGCTGAGGCACTGGAATGGGTTGCCCAGGGACGTTGTGAATGCTCCATCCCTGGCAGTGTTCAAGGCCAGGTTGGACAAGGCCTTGGGTGAGATGGTTTAGTGTGAGGTGTCCCTGGCCATGGCAGGGGGCTGGAACTGGATGATCTTAAGGTCCTTTCCAACCCTGACTGCTCTATGAAATCTTGTGTTTCCCTTTAATTCAATCGGTAAATCACGTGGACAGGGGTAACTCCAAACCTCCAAAGCCAACACCATGGATTACGGGAACCGGCAGTACCCAGCGCAGCCTCCAACAACCGGCAGCGGGCTCAACGCGGCAGCTTCCCTCCCGGGCGCACACGAGCAGTCAAACCCAGCCCGAGCCCAGCTCCGCAGCTCTCCCCAGCCGATCCCTTCCTCCTCCGAAGCCAGGCCTCGCTCCACGGGCCTGAGCTGGGATAAACGGGAGGGTAAACTGCGCGCAGCAAAGCCACCGCCGCTAAACCCGGCTTCCCCGCTGAGGGGCACCGAAAGGAGGCCCCGGCCCGGGACTCCCCGTGGCGGCTCCCGGCCGCTGCCCTCACCTCCTTCTCCGACGCCTTCTCGCCGACCCCGAGCAGCCCATACAGGTCCAGCTGCAGCAGGTCCTTACCCACCGCCATCCCGGCGCTCTCCGCCTGCTGCCGGGCCCGCCCCGCCCGCGGGGAACCGCAACCTCCACTACCACAACGGCCGCTGCAGCGGCGGCACCGCGACTACAGAGACCAGAATGCACCGCGACTACATAGACCAGGGTGCACCGCGCCCCCGCTGCCGCCGCCGCGGTGCTTGCTGGGGATGGAGTTCCGTGGCGGCGGCTGCCAGCGAGGAGGGGCGGGCGAGGGACTACAACTCCCGTGGTGCTTTGCGGAGGGCAGGCGGAGCGCGGGGCCGTCGGGGGCCGCGGCGGTGCGGGGGGAACGGGAGCTGCGAAGCGGAGCCCAGCGATGCGCTGGCCCCGGGAGGAGCGGGTGTCCCCCGGCAGCGCGTCCTGGGGGCAGGTCGCTGGTGCTGTGAGCCCCACTGCGGTCCCTTCCGAGCCATCCCGACCGGGGAAAGCGCTCATCCTTGCTGACGGATGGCTTTCAGACAGCTGGTGATGGGTGGGAGCAGTGGGAAAGGTTTGACAGAGTGTATTCCGTGATACTGATGCGCACTGTGACTCTTGGTTGGCAAGAGGCAGGAGAACAGGAGGGTGCTGCTGTCCCGGGACCTTCACGTTGACCATTCGCACCTGCCCAGCGCTCTCAGCATGGACAGCAGTGACACCACGAGGAAGTGCATGGGCACACGAGTGAACGCTGGCAGAGCTGCCACTGTAAGCGGCGAGGAGAAGCAAGACAGGCCAACCCAGTGTGGGTGATAAGCAAACTTCTCCTTTATTTGTGGCGCACTTCGCTTGTATCCGCGTGTGTTTAGCCACGCCTCGAGTCACAACAGTCTTGGTCAGTTCTACACAGCTTCCTCCACGTTCTCCTCCCACATCCGGTATCCGGTTACCTGTGAGGCCTGCCCCTTGCCTTGCTCGCACAAGGCCTCTAAGGCTCCGTGGCCTTGCTCTTGGAGCCATTCTGCAACACTCCTGCCATAGAATCATAGAGTGGTTTCGGTTGGAAAGGACCTTAAGATCATCCAGTTCCACCCCCCTGCCATGGGCAGGGACACCTCACACTAAACCATGGCACCCAAGGCTCTGGCCTTGAACACTGCCAGGGATGGAGCATTCACAACCTCCCTGGCCATGCTAGGCCCCTGCTCCTGTGGAACCTGTGCTGGGATCGGCTCCCTGGTGCATGCCGCTGCCCGGAGCTCCAGCCTGGCTGCCGCTGCTGGTTTCTCCCCCTCAAAGAGCCTGGGACGCCCCATTCCGTCCTCACTGTAATCAACATCCCAAGCCCTGCTCCGGTGCTGTATCCCCGGCCATCCTCAGGCCATCGCTGCCCATCATGGTACCACCTCCAGGACCCGCTCCGGCCCCTCGCTGCGGCCCCACTGTGACCACGGGCAGGGACTCTTCTTCTTCTGCCCTGCTCTGCTGAGCGCTCCTCCAGCGCCATCTCCCCCTGCAAACCAAAGGCCCACGGAGCTCAGCCCCTGCCCTGGAGACCCAATGGGCCCGAGGCAGCAGAGCGGGGCCGGGCAGCCCCAGGAGGTGCCTGCGCTGCCACAGCGGAGCCGGAGCCCGTCCCGGCGCACACAGCGGGCACCGGGGGCATCCCTGGGTGCTGCGGGTGCAGGGCTGGGACCGAGCCCTGCGGTACGGGCCTGGGGGAGCAGGGGGGCAGGAAAGCGGCTCCCGGCCTGGCCATGAGGGCAGCGCAGGGGCGGGGGGCAGGTGGGGAGCGGTGCCCCTGCCCCTGTCCCCAGGGATAGCGCTGGGGCCCTTCGGGGCTGCCTTGTGCCTCAGGGAGTGAGGTCATGGGTGGTACAGGGACTGGTGACATCACGGGTGGCACAGAGACTCAGGTGACATCACACGTGTCACGGGGTCTCTGGCGACATCACGGGTGACATCACAGGGACTCTGGTGACATCACGGGTGACATCACAGGTGTCACAGGGACTCTGGTGACATCACAGGTGACATCACGGGGCTCCATGGACCGCGGGGCAGGGTGGGCAATGGGGAGAGGCAGGAGGGGGAGCTGAGGCTCTGTGCTCTCGTGCTGGGGTGCTGAGACCTCCGGCTTCGTGTGACGGGAGGAGCGCGAGGGAGACTCCTCCGCAAAGCCCTTCCTCCCCAGAGCCCCGCGCAGGGCAGAGGCCGCACCATAAGGGCACCAGCAGCACTTCCCTCAGGCTGGGCAAGGAGATGAGCTCAGGACACGCTTCTGTCTCCAAAGCGGAGGAATAAACGTGAGCAGAGGGTTCAGCATCACAGGAAAGGAGCCTTGTCCTGGAGCCAAGGAGCGGGGCCTCCACTCTCTTATCCCCAAGCACATCCTGACCTCGGACTCCTGGCAAGGCCTCGGTCCTTGGCCCTGGCTGAGCCGCCTGCTGAGGCAAGATCAAGGGGTGACTGCTAACAGGGGCCAGTTTCCATGCGGTGCTTCCCAATGAAGCCGTTGGAGATGGGTCTCTTCAGTGCCTGTCCCCGCCGAGACGCGTGCTTGGGGACACGAATGTGCCGCAGGTCACAGGAAGCGAAGGAAGATGAAGGGGCTGGAGCATCTCTCCTACGAGGAAGAGCTGAGAGGGCCCCTTCCTCTCCCCCCTTCCCAGCCCACAGCCACATCCCGCTCAGAGGTCACAGAAAGCAAGTCCCGCATTCACGTTAGAACGAGGATTTATTTGGACTTATGCTGGCCCTGGGCACCGTGCTTTGAGGCAGGCGCCGGCGTCACGAGTCCTGTTGCAAAGGCGTCAGGGCAGGAACCGCCGCATGCCCGTGGAGTCCCGCACAGGTGCCATGGGCCAGAGCTGTGCCAGCTCCCGGCATTTCCCGGCAATGTGTGCGTCCAGTTTGTTGTACACCTCCTGGCTCAGCTGCAGCCTGGGCACGGGAGCAGGCACCGAAGCAGGAGGCTGGCTCGTGTCCGCAGGGCTGGCCTCCCATCTGCACTGGGGAATGGGGAGGTCCGTCTGGAGGCCGACATCTGTCTTCTGCGGGACCGAAGACGATGCTGGTCCTTTTGCCGCTTCTTCTGCCTTGTGGTCTGGCTCGGGAAGGGCTGGCTGGGCTGAGGATGAGCCAAGACGCCACGGGAACGGCTCCCGCTGCAGCAGCTGCCCATGCGGCTGAAGGAGGCTCTCACTGATGCCGGTCCCTGGCGCTGGTGCTGCGCTGGAGAAGCAGACGGCCCCACCCGCGGCCTTCGAGTTGTGCCGGCTGGGCAGCTCCTGCCCTCCCTCCATGGGCTGCCCCATGGCTCTGGCCTGAGCCAGGGCCCGGGCTCCCCGTGTGCGGTGTTTCCTGGCCACGTAAATCTTCAGTGCTGACCGGGCCCCCCCGGCACGCAAGGACTCCGGGGAGGAGGCAGATCCCAGCCGCACGGGGGTCCCTGCGTCCCGGCTCTCGCAGGCGTCCGTCAGGCTCCCAGGGCTGCCGAGGCTCGTGGAGGAGCTGCGGCTGCGGCAGGAGAGGCAGCCCCGCTTCCGCAGCGCCCGCAGGTCCCCCCCTGCTCCCTGCCGGGTCCCGTGGTCCTGTGCAGGCACTGAGCCCATCCCCAGCGGCGGTGACAGCATCACTTGCTGCAGCTCCTGGGCAGCCCAGGGGCAGTGCAGGCAGTTGAGGCACATCCCACACTTGCCACGGGCGAAAGAGGGAGGGGGGCCTGAGCCGTGGGGCTGGGGACAGCAGGGCCTCAAGGGGCTGCCCCAAGGGGCCCCGCTCTGCCCTCTCCCGCCGTGGGGACAGGCCCAGCTATCCCCTGCGGCACACGGAGGACCCACGGGGCTCTTTGGGCTCTCCAGTGCTGCCGCTGGCTGCCACCACGCGCAGCATCGCCAGCTCCATTTGTCACCCTGTGGGAACAGAGCAGAGCACAGAGACCTGCTGGGGAGGACCTCATCAGCACCCACCCCGAGGGACCCCTGGCTCTGAGCAGCCCCTACCTTTGGCCGCCGGGTGGTGGTGAACAGGATGGTCCCCACAGCCACGATCAGGATGCTGAGGCCGAGGATGCAGCTGGAGTCAGTCGTCGTGCAGGGCCCGACAGGGGCGCACTGCGGGGCGCAGCAGGGTGCTTGCATGACGGGGACGCTGCTTCCCTGCTCCCAGTTCCTGCCTGCCTGTTCCGCACGGATCAGGCACCGTCCTGCCCTGGGAAGAGCAAAGGTTTGACCAGGAGCGTCACGTACAGGGGAAAGAGCTGCAACGGAATTTGCTTTCACTTCTGGACAAACCCTGACGTGCTGGGGTGTTGGACACGGGGATTGCTGCAAGCCCCTCCCAATGGAGCTGCTCTACAGTTCTGGGGCTCTCCCTTTTCTCCTCCTCTCCCCCTTCTCTTCCTCTTTCCCCTTCCCCATCAGCCCGGCCATAAGGAGACCCGAGGAAACCTGGGCAAGGTTTCGCGCCCCTGTGCAGCCTCCCAGCCTTTACTCACAGGGAGCAGCTCCAGTCGGCGCCGTCGGCATCCTGGCTCTGTGCCACGGGTCCGATCCGCTCCCTCTGCCAAGTCCGCATCTCTCCCCGAGGTGCCCGGCTCAGGACGCTCGGCCAAATGAGCCTTCACCCCTGGAGCCTGCGTCTGCTTTTGTGCCCAGAGCCCGGTGATGTCACCGGGGTCACTGTGACGCTTCTGACATCGCCCCTTGGGAGCCGCGCTCGGCAGCGCCGGGGGCCCCAGCGCTGTCCCCGTGCATGGGGACAGCGGCTGCGGGGGGACGAAGGAGCCCGGCCCCTGCGCTGCCCTCGCGGCCAGGCCGGGAGCCGCTTTGCTGCCGGAGAGGTCAGTCCCGGCAGCGAGAGCGCTCGGAGATGCCCCCGGTGCCGCTCGCCTGCCCCGGGACGGGCCCTGGCTCGCCCCCGGCAGCGCGGGCACCTCCTGGGGCTTCCCTGCCTCGGGCCGGTGGTGCCCGCAGGGCAGGGCTGAGCTCCGCATGGCTTTGGGTTGCAGGGACCTGGCGGACGGGGAGCGCTTGGGCAGGGGCAGCTCTGCCCTGCCAACAGCAGGCGGGGGGCCCGGGCGGCGCCGATGGAGGCGTCTGAGGAGC